GCTCTTTTGCTTGTTTTACTTAAGATGTTTGGAGAGCTCTAGTTGGTTTGAGTGCTACAGTGATGTTATATGGTTGTAATAATCTGTGGATAGTTTATAAGATGTTTTTGATATATGGCAGTGTTGTCCTGTTCATAACTTGTTTTGATTGTGCTATAGTGGGTTGAATGGTCAGGCATATTTTGATAAAAGTTGTGTGAGTACTTATTTTGTTGGAAGGTGTTGTATAGGTAGTTTGTTTTCTTTTTCTAGTGTTCTGGGTGACTGCAGTATGTTTGTACTTGTCAGAATAACATTGTTACCAAACTCCTCTTTTTGGAAGTTTGGTCGTTACTCTGGTTAGTGAAGTTGTTTTTTGATAAACACTGGCATTTTGCCATTGTTTCCTGTACTGATGAGAATATCCAGGAAGGATAGTGTGTTGTTGTTTTCTTCATCCCTTGTGAATTTGATTACTTGGAAGATATTCTTGATTTGCAATAGTGGTGAATATCTGTAGCTTGAGTGTAGGATGAGAGTGAAGGTTCATTCTCTGAGCTTGTGGATTGGTTTCTGAAAGTAACATCTTTAGCGGAGTTTAGGGGATGTTACCTAGCTTGATAACAAAACATTCAGAAATCAACCCACAAACTTGGAGAACGAACCTTCATCCCCAGATATTCTTGATTGTTTCATGTGATCTTTTCTAGTTGTTTCTTTTTTATTATGATGGTATTGTTCACATATTGAATCCACCCTTTTCTTTTATTTGTTCATTTTCCCTTTTGATTTGTCTTTTGTTATATAAAAAAATCTTAATAAATATGATTAAATGTTGATAGTGTAAGAGTTAAGCACTACACCACAATGTATGGCTTCCATAGCTGAGGTAGCAAAGGAGAAACCTTCTTTCGTCTGACTGAAAATGAGGCTAAGAAACTAGGTGCATCTTCAACAGGCACCAACATTCTACAGATTTTGGTATCTGGAAAAAAATTATACTGAAATCTCTATTCAAAAATCTGGCCGAGCAAAATCATTGTAAGTGTCACTGGAAATCTAGGGATTATTCATGAGAACAAAGATCACAAATACTAAATGAAAAATACATAGAAAGATATGCAAGAATACATAATGAAAACATGCTTCAAGGTATAAAGAATGTTGAAGGTACTGCCAAGGAAAATTCTAGTTTTCTGGTAGGTTGTAGTAAAATATGTAATAAGAAGACGGAGTACTACAAACCTGTTATATCTTTAGAATAATATTTCTTCAAAATTTACTAATGTTTTTACAAATAAAACATTCTTTTCTGCAATATCTTCTGCAATATTTTGACATGTAAATGCCATACTTTCAATATGACAACATACTTTCTATTCCTTTTTTATCCAAACTCCTATAGCCTTCTCCAAATTTCACAAAACACTCATACTGTATATTTGTCTGATTTTTTTTACTCTTTCTATCCACATACTCTATTTAGGCCTTCCTTACTAATTTTTCTTCTTTGATTTTAAAAGGCTTATTTTGTGATGAACTAAAAAAAAGTAATTGCCACTTTAGGATAAATTGCATTGTTAAAAATAATTCATCTGTATTTATGTTGAGAAGAAATTCAGATTAAAAACAGGCTGACCACAGAAATCCTCCACTCATTAATTAATTCACTTTATTCCGAAGTAAAGCGTCTCCTACCTGAGGCCCACTGATGCTCTAGGTGGTGATGAAAGAACCGCATGGACCTGGTTCTTTTGTTCTCCGATCCCCACATGCCGTGTGTGAGTTGGTGAAATCTAGCAAGAGAAACAAAGATGGAGTTCTGATTGCAGAATTAAAAGATACAATATGGATAATAAAACTAAATTACCTTGTATTGAGCTTTAATCTGTGGATTCATCACCTTAATTTCATGGACTTTCTCGCAATGAAACCGAGGACATATTACAAGACTCAATGGTTTGGGACCATTTTCAAAAGCATCCAAAAAAGAAAATGTAAATAACTTCTTAGTACTCAAATTGACTTCATTTTTCCTCTTAAGGATTCTACTTGGAATAGATTCCTCCCCCAATTTCGATTTAAAATTAAGGTAGGGAGTGCGTGCAAACCATAGTTTCTGAAATTCTTTCCAACTCTTTTACCAGCAGGGGATATGGAAAATATCTGTATTTTCTTCTGTTCAGAGATCAAAGTAAATAGACCATAAGGAAAAGGAAAAAAAATCATAGTAAAATAATCAGTGAGTAATGAAATGTGCATAAAAGCCTAATCAGTAAAGAAAGTTACCAAAATGTTAAATAGCTATAAATAGCTATAACAAAATTAGCAACCTTTCTATAATATGTCAGCTAGGAGGAAGCAATCTCCTCCTTTAAGGAGGAAGGATATTGTAAGTAATGAAGCAGCACGTTGCATTATAGGCATGTGTATGTACTTTCATCCCAGGGACCAGGTCAGTCATAGTGCATACATATATGTTGTGTATGAGAATCTAATCAGGATGGTGCATAGGTGTTTGTCTGTGTTTATATTTTTGGGTTTCCCTCATGTTGCATCTGTATGACTATGTATGTGTGCATTGGGAAAGGATGAGTGCGAATGCGCTGCTTGGGGCCATATGACCAGGAGGAAGGGGACATAGATTGGAGGAGGTGATAGCATTGTCTTGCTGATTGACAGACAAAGTCCCAGGTCCCTTTACATAATTTCCCACATTTCATTTTGTAGGAAAAAAACTAGAAATGGCTAAAATCTGTCCAAGTTGTCCATGAAACCTCATGAGGCTTCAGGTGTGCTGATCTGGTTTAATTTTAAAAATAATTGTAATTATTTAAGAATGTGCTCACATGTGAATATGTAGAGCTCATAACATTAAAGAAATCAAGTAATAGTACTCCTTTCTGGAAAATATTCCTGGTTTTCAGAATTTTATATGATTATGTTCTCTCATTTAATCCTCTGTTTCCTCTTATGTTTTGGCATGGATATTTAAGTGGATATCTGATCATATACTTGTATCTCTGGCCAGTGGTGGGATTCAAATATGTGAACAACCGGTTCTCTGTGTGGATGCCGCTTCCAGAAGTCCGTTCTGGGCCTGGGCAACAAAAAATTAGCTACCAATTCTGCTGAACTGGTGTGAACCGGCTGAATCCCACCACTGTCTCTGGCACTTGTTTTTACCTAGCATATTCTCATCTGTGAGATGAGAAAGGCAAAATATTCAATACAATACAAGAAGTGTTGTTGCTACTGAGGTGATAGACGGCTAATGAGCCTGCTCAGAGAAGAACTTCAACAGGTTCATCAATATTTTACATGTTCCTGCCACCTCATTAGTTTATGCGGATCAGAATAACTAATTTTAGCACATACTATATAAAATTGTATGGAAAAAAAGCTCAACTGCTGCTACTGGCAAAATCAGCAAAAGGGCTTTTCGAAATGAGACTAATAATAGTTTTGTTCTCTAGCTATTTGTTAGCTTCTAAACTGCTTATACATAAATTTGTTGAGAAAACAGCAGTGAAACTGAAAAATGCTCTACATTTCTAATAGCTCTTTGTAATCTGGATCCTGAGGCCCAGTCAGCAGAGTTGGTTTGCTTTGTTGAAGCTTGCAATGCAAATTCCAAATTATAGCTCTCTGTGATTTTGAAGGTAACCTTTGAACCTAAGGGCCAGAACTGAACTAGGAAGAAGAGATTATAAGCAAATGATTATCTTATGATATATAACAGTTGTGTTCCCAACTGTGTGGGAATAATTAATCTTTATGAAAAAACGATCAGTGGTACTGAATACCTATAACTACTTGTAGTCCATATTGGAATTATAATTCCCAGAAGCTATAGGCAGCATGTTGGTTGGCCATGTTGACTGAGAATTATGGAAGTTGTAGTCTCAGGTTTTAGAACAACTAATCTACTTATTTTGTGATAATGAGACCTTTGGCTTTCTTGCAATAGTTGTGTCAATTTATCCCAATGCCACAGAGAGCAACTCCCCTTTTAAAATTACTCCAGTTCTACCATATTGTCATGAAATCAAATTTTGGGGTATTTCATGCACAGCATGTTCTGTTAAGAGTCTCTTGTTCAAATTACAACCAGCAGGATGCCTTGCACTTCTAGCTATTCCTTGATGAANGCTCTTTTGCTTGTTTTACTTAAGATGTTTGGAGAGCTCTAGTTGGTTTGAGTGCTACAGTGATGTTATATGGTTGTAATAATCTGTGGATAGTTTATAAGATGTTTTTGATATATGGCAGTGTTGTCCTGTTCATAACTTGTTTTGATTGTGCTATAGTGGGTTGAATGGTCAGGCATATTTTGATAAAAGTTGTGTGGGTACTTATTTTGTTTAAGGTGTTGTATAGGTAGTTTGTTTTCTTTTTCTAGTGTTCTGGGTGACTGCAGTATGTTTGTACTTGTCAGAATAACATTGTTACCAAACTCCTCTTTTTGGAAGTTTGGTCGTTACTCTGGTTAGTGAAGTTGTTTTTTGATAAACACTGGCATTTTGCCATTGTTTCCTGTACTGATGAGAATATCCAGGAAGGATAGTGTGTTGTTGTTTTCTTCATCCCTTGTGAATTTGATTACTTGGAAGATATTCTTGATTTGCAATAGTGGTGAATATCTGTAGCTTGAGTGTAGGATGAGAGTGAAGGTTCATTCTCTGAGCTTGTGGATTGGTTTCTGAAAGTAACATCTTTAGCAGAGTTTAGGGGATGTTACCTAGCTTGATAACAAAATATTCAGAAATCAACCCACAAACTTGGAGAACGAACCTTCATCCCCAGATATTCTTGATTGTTTCATGTGATCTTTTCTAGTTGTTTCTTTTTTATTATGATGGTATTGTTCACATATTGAATCCACCCTTTTCTTTTATTTGTTCATTTTCCCTTTTGATTTGTCTTTTGTTATATAAAAAAATCTTAATAAATATGATTAAATGTTGATAGTGTAAGAGTTAAGCACTACACCACAATGTATGGCTTCCATAGCTGAGGTAGCAAAGGAGAAACCTTCTTTCGTCTGACTGAAAATGAGGCTAAGAAACTAGGTGCATCTTTAACAGGCACCAACATTCTACAGATTTTGGTATCTGGAAAAAAATTATACTGAAATCTCTATTCAAAAATCTGGCCGAGCAAAGTCATTGTAAGTGTCACTGGAAATCTAGGGATTATTCATGAGAACAAAGATCACAAATACTAAATGAAAAATACATAGAAAGATATGCAAGAATACATAATGAAAACATGCTTCAAGGTATAAAGAATGTTGAAGGTACTGCCAAGGAAAATTCTAGTTTTCTGGTAGGTTGTAGTAAAATATGTAATAAGAAGACGGAGTACTACAAACCTGTTATATCTTTAGAATAATATTTCTTCAAAATTTACTAATGTTTTTACAAATAAAACATTCTTTTCTGCAATATCTTCTGCAATATTTTGACATGTAAATGCCATACTTTCAATATGACAACATACTTTCTATTCCTTTTTTATCTAAACTCCTATAGCTTTCTCCAAATTTCACAAAACACTCATACTGTATATTTGTCTGATTTTTTTTACTCTTTCTCTCCACATACTCTATTTAGGCCTTCCTTACTAATTTTTCTTCTTTGATTTTAAAAGGCTTATTTTGTGATGAACTGAAAAAAAAGTAATTGCCACTTTAGGATAAATTGCATTGTTAAAAATAATTCATCTGTATATATGTTGAGAAGAAATTCAGATTAAAAACAGGCTGACCACAGAAATCCTCCACTCATTAATTAATTCACTTTATTCCGAAGTAAAGCGTCTCCTACCTGAGGCCCACTGATGCTCTAGGTGGTGATGAAAGAACCGCATGGACCTGGTTCTTTTGTTCTCCGATCCCCACATGCCGTGTGTGAGTTGGTGAAATCTAGCAAGAGAAACAAAGATGGAGTTCTGATTGCAGAATTAAAAGATACAATATGGATAATAAAACTAAATTACCTTGTATTGAGCTTTAATCTGTGGATTCATCACCTTAATTTCATGGACTTTCTCACAATGAAACCGAGGACATATTACAAGACTCAATGGTTTGGGACCATTTTCAAAAGCATCCAAAAAAGAAAATGTAAATAACTTCTTAGTACTCAAATTGGCTTCATTTTTCCTCTTAAGGATTCTACTTGGAATAGATTCCTCCCCCAATTTCGATTTAAAATTAAGGTAGGGAGTGCGTGCAAACCATAGTTTCTGAAATTCTTTCCAACTCTTTTACCAGCAGTGGATATGGAAAATATCTGTATTTTCTTCTGTTCAGAGATCAAAGTAAATAGACCATAAGGAAAAGGGAAAAAAATCATAGTAAAATAATCAGTGAATAATGAAATGTGCATAAAAGCCTAATCAGTAAAGAAAGTTATCAAAATGTTAAATAGCTATAAATAGCTATAACAAAATTAGCAACCTTTCTAAAGGTATCTATAATATGTCAGCTAGGAGGAAGCAATCTCCTCCTTTAAGGAGGAAGGATATTGTAAGTAATGAAGCAGCACGTTGCATTATAGGCATGTGTATGTACTTTCATCCCAGGGACCAGGTCAGTCATAGTGCATACATATATGTTGTGTATGAGAATCTAATCAGGATGGTGCATAGGTGTTTGTCTGTGTTTATATTTTTGGGTTTCCCTCATGTTGCATCTGTATGACTATGTATGTGTGCATTGGGAAAGGATGAGTGCGAATGCGCTGCTTGGGGCCATATGACCAGGAGGAAGGGGACATAGATTGGAGGAGGTGATAGCATTGTCTTGCTGATTGACAGACAAAATCCCAGGTCCCTTTACATAATTTCCCACATTTCATTTTGTAGGAAAAAAACTAGAAATGGCTAAAATCTGTCCAAGTTGTCCATGAAACCTCATGAGGCTTCAGGTGTGCTGATCTGGTTTAATTTTAAAAATAATTGTAATTATTTAAGAATGTGCTCACATGTGAATATGTAGAGCTCATAACATTAAAGAAATCAAGTAATAGTACTCCTTCCTGGAAAATCTTCCTGGTTTTCAGAATTTTATATGATTATGTTCTCTCATTTAATCCTCTGTTTCCTCTTATGTTTTGGCATGGATATTTAAGTGGATATCTGATCATATACTTGTATCTCTGGCCAGTGGTGGGATTCAAATATGTGAACAACCGGTTCTCTGTGTGGATGCCGCTTCCAGAAGTCCCTTCTGGGCCTGGGCAACAAAAAATTAGCTACCAATTCTGCTGAACTGGTGTGAACTGGCTGAATCCCACCACTGTCTCTGGCACTTGTTTTTACCTAGCATATTCTCATCTGTGAGATGAGAAAGGCAAAATATTCAATACAATACAAGAAGTGTTGTTGCTACTGAGGTGATAGACGGCTAATGAGCCTGCTCAGAGAAGAACTTCAACAGGTTCATCAATATTTTACATGTTCCTGCCACCTCATTAGTTTATGCGGATCAGAATAACTAATTTTAGCACATACTATATAAAAGTGTATGGAAAAAAAGCTCAACTGCTGCTACTGGCAAAATCAGCAAAAGGGCTTTTCGAAATGAGACTAATAATAGTTTTGTTCTCTAGCTATTTGTTAGCTTCTAAACTGCTTATACATAAATTTGTTGAGAAAACAGCAGTGAAACTGAAAAATGCTCTACATTTCTAATAGCTCTTTGTAATCTGGATCCTGAGGCCCAGTCAGCAGAGTTGGTTTGCTTTGTTGAAGCTTGCAATGCAAATTCCAAATTATAGCTCTCTGTGATTTTGAAGGTAACCTTGGAACCTAAGGGCCAGAACTGAACTAGGAAGAAGAGATTATAAGTAAATGATTATCTTATGATATATAATAATAATAATAATAATAATAATAATAATAAATTTAATTTATATGCCGCCCTTCTCCCAGCGGGACTCAGGGCGGCGCACAACATATTTAAAACAAAACATAAATACATTCCCCCCCGATAAAACCGAATTAAATCAAATTTTAAAGTTGTGTCTCTGTCAAATTGTTAAAAGATAAACCCCAAATAAAATCCTCC